TTTGAGGTATAAGTAAGTAGTGCTTAGGTAAGAATTCCTCAGCCTGAGTGGCGAATGAGTAGAAGGGTTGAGAGTATCCTTGGCGGTGTCATGTCGAGGATGGCAGGGGAGAAGTTGATGTCGCCATGATATTAAAACTCACGTCTACTTCTTCTTAAGTTTTTTCCAATATTATTGTGTTATTGTGACGGTTTGCAGCCTCAGATTCGACCTTGCCGTGGCTTGGGTACGAGCCTGAGGTGCCGAATCTCTTCGTGAGATCGTGCTTCTTGTTGAGCTTTTTTCCTTTATTACCATTATTACCATTATCATTATTGCTATCATCATTATTGATTGTATTTTTCCTGATTGGCTACATTGCAATTGCTTAATGTTTCAACTACCTATTATTCCTGCTTATTGGTTTTTCTTCTTCTTGCCGCGCCTTTGTTCCTCGCGTATGTTATTTCGAGGAGTGGCGTGGCACTGGAACACCGCTATATCGATGTTGTATCATCGGCATGAGCGAGTGGGCCGCTGAATTCCTACACTGGCGGGCGATTTGTGAACGTGCGCTGGTCGGGCTCAGAGCGACTGCCGTGTTCTTCAGGAGCTGGTTGCACGATCGTACAGCTCGGCTGCTGATGCGTCGACGTTTCCAGAGGGGACCCGCTGCGACCTTACCGCGCTTGTAATATGTTGGTGTGAAAAGCGCGGGCGCGTAGCTCGAACCTTGGATACATGCTGTTGAAGTTGCGATCAACAAAGTGGTGTGTTGATCTTAGGAATCCAGACACGAGGCTCAACATCGGCCTGGGACTGGGGTGGATCTTGTTCGCCGCCTTTATCATGAGTCGCATGTACGAGGGTAATCGAAACGGGAATAGAGGAGCAAGGCGTGGGCGGTGGTCGAACTGCGGGCGATGCTTGTCAAATATGAGTGGAGGCCAGCAACTTCCTAATCAAAGTGGCGCCGGGCACTATGTTAACCTGGTCCCGCCTGGCATAGCGCCTACGTATGCCATGCCCGTTGGACAGCCCCAGTCCATGACAGCACAACAGCAATCAGCGGCGGTGCAGCAGCCTATGGCGATGCCTTCGATGCCAACGACTATGCCTCCTGCGAACTTCGTCCCTGCCAATGCTCCGGCACACGTACCTCAGTACCAGGTGCAACCTGCAACTGCTCCATGGGCTATCCAGCCGTGGATGGCGAATGGTCAGTGGCCCACGCCGGTCCCATGGCCGATGCCACCCGTTGGACATAACTATCCGGCGAATGCGCAGCCAAGTACGCAAGCTAATCAACAAACAGTCGAGCCTTCGGCTCCCAGGGCGCAGTCGAGCAACAACGGCGACAACCGCTCTTCCAAGCAGCCCGCTGCGAACGCGTTTCCTCGACCTGGAAACCGAGCGTATTTTACTAAGGAATATATGGACATCCTGGAGGAAATCAAGTCGGACAAAGTGCTGGACGCAGCAAAGAAGAAGGTGGCTGGAAGCCGGACCGAGGGCATTCGTATCTCCGAGAGTGCTGAAGGGAGCTGCAGGTCGGAAGTCCGTTCCGGCAACAAATCCGATGATATGAAAGCTTGGGTCACTACGACCCTGGGGGACTCCTTAAAGCTAATCACTAAGAAGCTCGAGGAGGTCGACTCCAAGGCTAAGATGGCCACGGCAGAGAAGGAAGAGTTGTTGCTATTGCGAGCTGAAAAAGCGGCAATGGGGAAAGTGAAGAAGAAGTCAAGTGCGGAGAAGCGCAAGCGCGGGGGGGCAGCCCAGCCAGGGTGTGTAACGCCAGCGGGTAACTCCAATCGTGGCAAGTCCAGATCGAAGAACTGTCGATCTCGACGTGTTGAGATATCATCTGATGAAGAGGGTGAGGATGGTGGGGACGTCCGGCAGAACCTGAGCGACAAATTGGAGAAAAGCAGTGATCTATCAGAGGTGAAGAAGATGCTCGCCGCTATCGTGCAGGGCCTTGCAGATGGGAAAGGCAAGCAGCCGATGGCTGCGCCAGACCCGGCCGCTGAAGGCGACCATGAGGATGGTGAGAATGCAGAGGATGTGGATGTGGCTGTTAATGCCTCCATTCAGGAGGAAGAAGAAGCCGATGAAGGGGGCCTGGCAACTTATATGAAGATGAGGCAGGACTTCTATATGTCACTGCATTACACTCGAGTGCAGGAGATCTGGAAGCAAAGAGACATCCCCTATTTTCGCAAGGAACCTGCGGCCTGGGAATTGGCTAGAGTGGACCTCCAGGAGTATGCCGATCAACTCAACGGCGGTGCTGCCTTGAAAGGGGCCGAACCATCCAGGAAGGGAGCAGCCAGGAACGTGGACAACAGTGAGGTTGAGGACAAGGGTAATGACTCAATCTCCGGGAATTGATTGGGGAGCATTCGCTCTCTTAGGCGTGCAGTTAGACACATCCAGGCTCTACGCGCCATCACCGAGAGTGTTACCTCGGCACTGTTGAGTAAAGTGCACGTCTTAATTATTCTATTGGCGTGCCTTCGGGGCGACATTTCTTGGGCAAAGGCGTATGTCTCCTTCTGGCTTCGCATGTCTGATGTCGAGTGGGGCCGCCTGCTAGAGGGGCAGTGTTGTGTGTATGCGCTCCTGTCGATAGATCATAAATTAGTGTACGTGAGTAAAGACCGTCCGCCCTCTGAGAGAACGCTGGTCTGAGCACTGCAGAGCCGTGAAAGAGGGTAGTAAGCAGGTGGTGCACTCATGGCTTCGCAAGGCCGGGATTGAGAACTACGTTCCAATTCCAGTTTGGTTTGGGGATGAGCCTGTGATTGAAGTCATGAAAACCAAGATCACTCGAAGCCATAACCTTGGTCTGAATGTCAAGAGTCCTAAGCAGCCTGCCTCCACCCGGAAGTGTTGGGGCAGAAGACAGGTCGTTCGGTCCCCAGTGGTGATACACGAACCTGTGTTTTTCGATTGTCCGATTTTAGGCGTCCGGCAAGAACGGGACTTGCTGCGAGTCCTGAAACTTCTTGAGAAAGGGAGGCATCCTAATGCCGTTGAAATATATAATAAATCAGGAACTCGTTGGCTTAAAGCCTGGAGATTAGTTGCTCTATTGTTTGGTTTTTCTAAGATCGTTTGCGATGGTAGGAAAGTCTTGTTGAAAGATGCGAAGACTTTAATTGAAGCCGGAGGGCAATGGACTATCTCTCAACTGTTTCGGACTCAGACTAAGACTGACCAGGTGAAGGCTCACCTAATTTCCCTTCTGAGAGCACCGTGGAAGCGGCGGGATCTGTATACCTGTAAGCTAGAAGAACTATTGGATTTTAACAAGGGTGTGAAGTCTATCAACCAAAGACGTGGCAGACAAATTGTTCGAGGCATCTTGACAAACATTCTCAAGCGCAAGTTTTGCATTAATCCTGGACTGCGCATTACTGTGAAAATTCCGTTTTGCACAACAGTTGATAAGGGCAAGGTTGTAGACTGTGTTAAAAATTGGATTAAGGTGCATGTTGTTCCCATGCCGCTGGTTGACTTGTATGCAAAAAGGACGAAAGCAGTATGGTTGAAAGCCCGTACTGTTGGCGACCTGCTGCATAACCAAAAGTCATTCGCGCAAGCGACAAGTTTTGTCTGTGTTTGTGCTGACTTTGAACTGCCCAAGTGCAACGGGCATGTTGCAGTTAAGCTCAGCGAGCTGGACGACATAGATCCTTTCCTTTTTAATGCAAAGAACGTTCATTTTCCGGGCTCCCTCGCGAGCAAGCAAGATCTGAACGTGGCTTGTAATCTGGCCATTGATGAGCTTCGAAGGACAGGTGTTGTGCAAAGCGTCATGCAAATTAGCTGGTTGACAGTCCGCAGGAACGGGGTTCCCAGAGTAGATGGGTGTGTGCTGAGCGAGTACGTCAGGGGTATCGGTCAGTCCCTCTCTGGGTTAGTTCTCTCTCCGCTCGATCGCAACACCGCGGAGACTTGGATTGAATGCCCAAAACTGTATGAAGCAGGACTACGGGAAATGTTCACTGAGAATGAGAATTATGAACTGGTGCCCAAGGAGAGAAGCTCTATCGTTTCTGAGATGAGGGAGAAGTATACTGATGGCCGGCTGGATAAGATCTGTAAGTGGGACTTTGCTGGTGACCTGCAGTATGCCTATGTCCTGTCCAAGGAGAAGGACAAGGCAAAGAAACGGTCGATTGTGCCTTCCTTTTGCAGCCCCTTTCGGGCGACGTCCGGACTCCTTTCCACTACTCTTAATATGCTGATTAAGCAGGCTAAGGTACCGCATTTTAATCTGCGTGCTATAGGGGACCTTAAACTTGAAATCTCCAGGATCAATGAGATGGGTGAGAAACTAGGATCCGGTGAGCATGGGCTGGAGGCGCGAACGTATGACATTAAAGAAATGTTCACACAACTTCCACATAGCGAGATAAGCCTGGCAGTTCGTTGGATTGTTGAAATATTTCAGCAAAAGGGCCTTAGGTGGATTCGCATTAACTCCAGGAAGAAACTCGCTACGTTCGGGAAGTCACACGGTGAAGATGGATGGAAGTCTGTTCGGCTGAGTGTGCTAGCCGAACTGACTAACTTTCAGTTGGACAACACCTTTTTCCTGGTTTCAGGTTTGGCCTATCGGCAGAAGAAGGGGATTCCGATGGGAGGAAGGGTCAGCCCTCCCCTTGCTTGTATTATGTGCATGAGGGCTGAATTCCTTTTCCTATCGAGTCTTGGGAATGACTCTAGGCTCGTTCATGGGAAAAGGTACATAGATGACCTATTGATCGTTTCTTTCTTTGTTAAAGACAACAGGTTAGATCGTTTACGGGCAAAAGAGCGATTGAACAGAATCACTACCTGCTATCCAACTGGACTGCAGCTGCAACGAATGGACACAGGAAACGGTGTCCTCGATTTTCTGGAAACCAGGCTACTGGTTATCAACGAATCTACGATCGTTATGTCACACAAATTGAGGAATGCAGACTCAATCTGGGACAGCGGACCACTTAGATTCCGCACGTACAAGGAGTTCGCTTCGTTTGGGCCACGCATGACAAAGTTTGCCCCGGTTGCAAATGCCATCCTTAGGATAGCGAATAACTCCAATGACCTTGGGATCACCTTTCTTAATGTTCTCAGCCTTGCTGAAGAGCTCTGGACGCTGAACTATCCGAGCAACGTGATCCTAGCCGGGATAGATTGGATGTTCCGTCGTGTGAAAATCGAGTTCTAGAGAATCCTGAGTCGAGTAACTGCAGCGTGGCTCCATCAGAAAGATGACGCGCTGAGTTGAATGGGTTGAACAATGGCACCTGCTTCGTGCCAGATACGGGCTTCGTACCAGATACGGGCTCTACCACTGACAAGAGCAGAAATTGCACGCGAGTACGATTCTGCTCCCCTGCAAGGAGTGTACATGCTCCTAGCCTTTGGGTTGGGATGGGTTCAGGCGTCTATAACGCTAGAACGACAACTCATGATGAAGGTGTTTTCTCGTGACACAGTGGGTAAGAGCAGATTTTTCAAATCGGCGAGCGTTGCCTCGCTGGAATACCGCACACAGGGGTCGAAGAACGTGTTTTCGACTACGGCATCTTGTCACAGGATTAAGAAGGCTGGGTATGCACCTGGTCGCGAGGCCTCGTAAAGGAAATTATGCGGTACGATGGGCCATGGGATACCTTGTGATGGGTGGACTACCGAGGATGGCTGGATAGCGACCTCGCTGTGACGACGTTTTGTTTCATTTTGTCATATGCTTTAAAGTGTATCTGGCAGCGTTTGGAGTGATTGTGCTGCTGAACCTAGTCCTAATAGAAGGTAGAGTCATCGGTTGCTATGGGACGCAGATTCTTAAAAGTAGTAGATCGCGAAATCGAATTTAGTGCGCCGTGCAAAGATCTTCTAGAGCTCTCGGCGGAATTCTGTTTGGAAGGTAGGGGGCGCAGGATGTATCCGGTCGTAAGGGTCGGGATAAGGGGAAAAATCTGCGAGGGAAAACTGTAGGGTGCCTTGCGGCAGCTGCTAGGCATTGGGGAACGGGCCGCGAGGCAACTTTTGAGGTATAAGTAAGTAGTGCTTAGGTAAGAATTCCTCAGCCTGAGTGGCGAATGAGTAGAAGGGTTTAGAGTATCCTTGGCGGTGTCATGTCAAGGATGGTAGGGGAGAAGTTGATGTCGCCATGATATTAAAACTCACGTCTGCTTCTTCTTAAGTTTTCTCCAATATTGTTGTGTTATTGTGATGGATTTCCCAATACTATTGTATCTGACAAAGATGTGCGATTTACAAGCGAGCAATGGCAAAAACTGATGGAAGCTTACGGCACCAAACTGACTATGTTTTCATGACGACATCCTGAGACTAACGACCGAACTGAACGAATGAACAAGTTGTGCCAACAACTCCTATGTATGTATGTGCGACCTGATCAGATTGACTGGGATGAGAATCTTCCCAAGATTGCAAGTGCATATAATAATAGTGTACACACTTCTACAGGATGCACACCAAATGCACTGCACAAAGGTTGGCAACCTCTGAGAGCGATTGACTGCCTAACAAGAGATCAAATCCAGAAGTTGCCCCCAGGAACCCGAGAGTTTGCAGTTCTCAATGAGGAGGACGTTGAAAAAGCAAAAGAGAATATTAAGAAAGCCCAATAAAAAATGATTGAACATGCAAACCAACATCGAAGGCCTGCGCAATTCCAAAAAGGAGATCTCGTTTGGGTAAAATCTAACGAACTTTTACTCCATGAAAATGTCTTGTAGAAACAGCTACCTGTCTACTACGGAGCCTAGGAAGTACTTAAAGTAATAGGGGATGTCGATGGACCATCCTACCAAATTGGCATTCCCCCTCATCTGAAGACCTGGCTAGTCTTCCACGCACCTAAGTGGCTACCCTATGTTGAAGGACAAGAATTTCCCAGTAGACCATCCTCGATTCCTCTCTTCAACGGATGGTGAGTACCAAGTGGAGAATATAATTGAACATGGGCTTTTCTCCGTGGAGCTAGAGGAAGACCTCAAAAGCAATATACGGTAAAGTTTTTTAATCAACCGTTGTTTGAAGCTCACTGGTTTAGTAAAAGAGAACTCCTACTTACTGCTCCTGATATTGTCTCTGCATATGAGCGAAGTTTAAGAATCCAAGCCTGAAAAGAAATTTATGTGATGGAACTCGAAATCGGGCCGCGGATAGAATGTTGTAACTTGTGTGCCCCCCTAGGTCCTCGCCACGCCTGCAGACAAGCACGAACGGGCAGGCTTGATAATAGAGGGGTCAAATAGGCCTCAGAAAAAAAACCAGAAGATATTCCTGGCCGTCGATCTGGAATGATCTAACAGTGGCCTGCTGGTACCGGAAGATACAGGCCTCAAGGAGTCCAGACCGAAACTGGAACACATGGGAAGATCCGGGCCCTCACGTGGACCGACGCTGACTGAGGACAGGTGAGTCAT